CATTTGAATTTTTGGTTGAGACTCTCGAAATATTGCGGTGAATATGTTTGTTTTTGAACTATTACTTGTTTAGAGTTATTTATAGTTAAAATGGGTTCTTCTTCGTTGTCTCCTAATATCATGTAATGCCGTTGCGTTGTCAAGTTTTCATCTTCATATTCGTCATCCATCGAGCCTGTAGTAATGGGGGTAGGTTGTTGGAACTTATCAAACTGTGGTTTTTCCCAACAGGTCATAGGCACCTGATGTTCTTTTTGATTCCATTGGAAAATAAATTTCTGACAGTCCCAATAAAGTCGTCCTTGGCATTTTGTTAACCAATTGTTTTCAGCTACAATATAGTAATCATTAGATTCTGTTATATCGACATTAATGGGGATTTCTACATCATTAATCTGGATTGGGATATTAGTAACTTTTCCCAATGGTCGTGAGCGTTCTCCTTGTATATTGATCATAGTGATCATTGATGGGCCTTCAATTTTTTTATTCAATTGTTGTAAGAAACTTTTTAATATAACACTTCCAGCAGATCCTGAATCGAGGATCAAGTAAATAGGTTTACCATCTACAAAGGCATAACAGTATACAGCTTCTACAGCTTTAGGTACATTAATTTCATTTGAGGAATTTAAATAATGACTGGTACTCCCACCCTCGAGAGGTACCCTTAGTAGTTTAAAGACTGATTTGATGGTTTAGAAGAGTTACTAGTGGTGGTAAAAGCATTATTGAAAGGGAATGTCATAGAAGGTTGTGGAGGAGGTGGTGGTAAAAACGTATTTGGGATATTGTACATTGAACTTCCTTGCGATAAAGCAGCTCGTTGGCTTATTTGACCAGCTTGCGGTTGGCTATTATGGAAATTTGGTGTTAGTTTTGTTGGACATAAATTTCCTCAATGTTCAAGCTGGTGGCAATGTGGGCAGGATCCAGTAGGAATGGTATTACAATTTTTAGCCATGTGTCCTCTTCGCTTACAAGTAAAACACCTATTTTCATTCTGGTAGGTACTATTCCTATTCTGTTGGAAATTATTTTGGCTACCACCTTGATTATTTCGTACTCTACAGTTTTTAGCAATGTGTTCAGGTCGGTTGCAATTATAACATACTTGATTACCGTTGTTATTACTATTTCTCCAATTGGCATTATTGTGTGCTGGGTGACCGTGACCATCATTTCGTAGGTTGGTAGTAATAGTATTTAATAATTGTTTGACTTCCTTTATCAGTTTTTCATTATTTTCCTTAATCAACTGTTGCATATTAGGAACCTTTTCTCATTCTGTTTCCTCATCATGTTGGTTCAAATAGGTTTTGCTGAGGGAATATCCTGATAAAACGCTATCTTTAGAAAGGACAGCTTCAACAGCTCAGGCTCGATCGATCGCCTCTTCTAAATCACGAGGTGCAGCAGCAGCTACTGCGGTTAAAAATTCAGGACGAAGTCCTTATAAGAACTGTTCAATTTTCTCATCTTCTGGTGTGTTATAATCTGGATCAAGTTTGAGGTATAATGATTCAATATCTGCGGCATAATCTTCTACAGATTGTCCAGGGCGTTGCTTATATCGTCTAAGTGCAGAACGCCATTGAGTTCTTCTATGTGTTGTACAATAATGCTTCAAGAAGTGGTAAACAAAAGATCGGTATTTATGTTATCGATCACAAGAATTATCCCAATATCGCAAATCTTTTTAATTCTTAGTTTTGTTATACCAAGTAAGAGCTGATCCTTTTAGGAACGAAGGGACTAATGTAAGGCGTCGCCTATCAGAAATTCCATTCGCATCTCCAGCATGATTATACCTTTCCAACCATTCTCTAGGGTCTTGGTCTCCTCCCTTGAACGTTGGTAAGTCCACAAACTTAGCTTCTCGCGATCCGCCAAATTCAACAGTTTTAAAGACAATCTGGAGGCCTTTCATCATTTTAAAGAGTTGTCTTTCATCATTATCTTCAGCATTATCGGTATTGAAAGGATCTTCATCATCACTTTCTGAGTTACTATCTTCAGAGTTAGAACTAGAAGAAGATGAAGAACTATCATAGTAGGAGGGAGAGCGATGGCTCTTTAGTTTACCATTTTTCTTATTTTTCGACCCTCTATTTTCGCGTGAACTTCATGAAGGCTCAGCTTTTGACCGAGAGGAACGTAAGGAACGAACATTTTTTTTTTTAGCCGTGGTGTTTTTCTCATCAGAAGATTTTGTATAAGTTAGTTTAGGTGGCTTTCCAGTTTCTTGATATGAGCTAAAAGCAGAGTTGTCAAAGCTCAGAGTTCGTTTTTCAGGATCCTTTCCACTTGGAGTAACGTCTGCAATGATAGTATCCTCAGGTGGATAATTTGTCTGAGAAGTCAAGTCTTCTTTTACTGATTCAGAGGTAACACTATTTCTACAGCTCATCGAAGGTTTAGTCATCCTGGACGGAGAAGAATTACGACTTATACTTAAAAGAGATATATTAAGATAATTGAGTAAATCGCCTTGATATTTCTTCTGGAATAATTCAGTTTCAGTTTGGGCTTGAAAACAGTATTCGATGGCTCGCTCAAAGGTTGGTATTGGTACTTGTTTGTATCTCAAAGTTTTAAGCGTCTGCTGATAATATATTTCTTGTACACCAGTGGTTTTTACAAAAATTGCAATTTGAAAGGCTTCTAAACTTTTGCTAGTATATAATATCGCTCCTAAGACTTTTTGTGCTCAATCAAAGAAATTGAGAAAAGATGGGAGGATTTCCTTTGGAGGTGGATTACAAGCAATACAGGATGAATCGTCAGTTAAGACAGAAGTAGCAGCTTTTCTAAAGTTACGCTCTGATTTGTTGTGTATGGAAGAATGAGTCCTTTGGTATTTTATCAATTCTCT